GACACTTATCTAAACTTGTCTTTCTCAGAAGCAACCACTATTCCTAACTTTGAAATGCAAGATTTCAATTACTTGGGATTTACAGACATCTGCAATATATTTGTATTGACATTTCCTTCCTTTAAGTATTTATTAAATATCCACTAGGTGCCTTTGCCTTAAAGATATGAGCTCTATTAAATATACATCTTTCTTATATAACTTTAGAATTTTTATGCATGAATGTCTTGCTGCTTTGCAGTATTAAATCTTTCTGCAGGCATGGTCAATTTGCTCTCCTTTTATAGCAGGGAGTCCCCTTCACGAGCTGCCAGGCTGTGTACCTTCGAACACCCCAAGTAGTCTCTGGTTCAGTAACTAGCCTTCCCTTCTACAGTGTTGTAGGTATGTAGGCAATTACTGATTGTATATTTTTAAAATACACACAAAAAAGTTATAGAATACCACTGTGTCAAACACTGGGCAAGTACCACAGAAGATTTAAAAACCAGAGGGTATCTTCTGATGCCGAGCACTAAAAACAAAACAAAACCAAAACTGAGGGAATGTAATGGTAATTAATACCTATTAAACATTCTCTACATATATACTGTCATAACAGTTGTATTATTAGTTCTTTTGAAGTCACACCTTATGAATGGGAGAGAAAGGGAACAGTTTGTAATAGAACCTGAAGTGTTGTATTCTCAAAATCCATAGGATGACCCTCTCAGGCCATTTGCTCTTCTCCCACTATGTGAGGCCTGACAACTCCAACCGCTGAATCAGCCCTGTCATGTACTTCCTACCAAAAACACCTGGTCTTGTGTTCCTTTGGAAAAAGATCAGTTACATGCCAATTTCTTTGATTTCAAAATTCACTCTCATCTCCAGTGTTATCTCTTGAGGTAGCAGTTTGACTCTTAAATTTGACTTACTCTTGTGACTTAAGTTTGACTCACTCTTGTGACAATGACCTTATTATGCCATCATTTCCAATTATCATCCATATGTTATGTTACTACTGCTACATAGCTAAAGAAATTCCTGTGTATTTGGGAAGTGGGGATTAGTAAGAAAATGAAGAGATAGCAGCTTAAGACAGACACCCAAAGCTACAGGTTGAAGAGAGTATGCGGTGAGGGCCTGGAGAAACAAGATGAGGGAGGAGAAGTGGGAAGAGGAGATGAGATAGGAAGAGAAAGGAATGTATCTTAACATGAAAACACTGAGGCGCGCTTTGATCCCCCCTTCCTGTTCCTTACCTACTAATGTCTCTAGTCCTATTAAACTTTTTCTTCATGATTTCCTCTCTGCTGCTGCTTTCCTAATTCAAGTCCTGGTCCTCTAATCAGGATGACCTCAATGTCCTGCTCCCATAGGCTTTCCTTTTCTTTCAGCAGGTGTGTAAGGCACAATTTAGGGATGTTTTCTTGCCTGGTAGGAAGATTGGTTTTGTTTGCTGTGTTCTAGTACATAAAAAAATGCCCTACTCACCAGCTACCAGGCTGTGCACCTTTTAACGTTCAAGTCTAGCTTTTCACTCAAAAACTAGCCTTCCCTTCTAGAGTTTTCCCAAGCTTTTCACATTAAGCAAAAACACAACAGCCTTTTCTATTCCACTTTCCATAGTTATTTCAGTATTAAACCTCAATACAAAAGATAATGATAAAGAGACTAATTTTCCTATGTATCTCTACTCACACAAATTATTCTGTATTTTTCCTAATGACTTCAAAACCTTGGAGAAAAAAATCTAAGTTGTTTCCATGCAGAGCTTACCTTCATTGCTAGAATGAGGTTAACAATGTAAATTAGCTACATTTAAAGAAGGCAAAAAGTAAGTCTGTCCAACTCTATTTACAGAAAGAAAAAACTTATGCCATTTTCATCATTGTTCACACTTACCTTATCAACATATTTCTTAGAATTGTAAAATCACAATGTTCACCATTTTCAACTGTAAGAAAAAAAACAGACCACGTGTATTATTTCCGCTAAACCCAGTCTTTTCAAAGGAAATTTCACAGAAACTTGAGGGGGGGGG